ACCCCACATTCCTACAGTCACCACACTCAAGTTCATCAGACTAGATAAGCTGATTAGATTACAGCTCTCACAATCCAATCATTTCACTTCTGAATATTCCTGCATTAACACAGGAACTTTGGGGGGACAGCTCAGATTCAAACCCTAAGAACCGAAATACACACACATTTAGTTAAGCTACAAGCAAGTGAGATTAATATTATTGAGGAGAAAAGAGTTATAAAAAAGATTTTTCAATCAATTATTTTAAGAGAAAGTTGCCTCTAATTTTCACAGTTCTATTGTCTGCAGCAGGTAAGACTAGTTCTAAGGCCACTGGGTTGGCACTATATTGCTATTTTTAACATGTATAATGATTAAATCTAGAACTCAATATGAATTTGTGATACCAGATGATTTGATTAATCCACTTGAAAGTGATGCAACATAGTAATAAGCCAAGCTTGCAGGAAATGTTAATTAAGCTAAAAAATTATTTAGGGCACAAAGGAATTACTTAATTACAAAAAGTATCGAATTCAGCTAAAACTTTCATCTGTCCTTTAAATGAGAGCAACATTATTTAGGATAGTATTTCCAACCACACATTTAGGTGAAAAGGGTTTCAGTGCAGTGCAGCCATTAGGGCAAAAGCAACAAAATGTAACAGAACATTTGGCATTCCCTTTAACAGTTTTTAGCACTTCATTAAAATCCACCAATAAAATTAAAATATTTCATATTAGTGCTACATGTTTCAGTTTGGGTCTCTCCTGCAGACTCTTGAGACAAAATTTTAGGTACAGTTTGTCTTGGAAACCTCACATTGGAAGAACAGGAAGTGAGACAGAGGAAGGGAGGGATGAGAGCTCACAGAAATGAATTATCAACCAGCTAGCACAACAGGAGCTTAATCACAGCAGGAAATCCCCGTATCCCACAGGAGTGAAGGAGCTGGGGCAATTTATCCACTGATTCCCTTAGGTACTGAGGCTACTCCCCGAGGCAATTCTACGCCACTTCTGTCTGCCATGTGAGTAAGCAGAAAGGTGGCTAAGAGGTACACTTGGGAAGGGTGCTCAGAGGTGATAAAGACTTGGGGATGGAGTGGGGCTGGACAGTACCTCCTGCACCAAGCTGCCTGGGCTCTTCGTGGTTTTCTACTACAGTGATAGGAAAGACATGCTGAGAAACTTAAATATGGAAGTTATGGTGTGGGGATTTGAAGAGGAGGGAGGGGGTTGTCCAACTCCCCACCCAGTCTTCCTGAAGCACACACCTTAGAAGTCCACCAGAGCCTTTCCTCTTTCCAATTCTTCTTTTCTCCATCCTTTTGCAAAGGATGTGGTCTGCAGGGTCTTTTAAATTCTGGAAATGAACAGATGCCCTCACAGATGGTGGGATTTCACAACAGGAGTCACTTTATCACTATCCCTTAAAAACAGGGAAACATTTTCAAGCCACTTGTACAGAGTCCATCACATGTGTGAGACTACTGTACTTCTTCATCTCAACTGACAGTCTGCTTTTTGCTGGAGATAAGCTAGTGATTTCCCTTTATCACCCCACAGGCAGGCATGTCTCATTTGTTGGCACCAGATGTATGTTCACTCATCTTACACTAGTTTTTATTCTGCTATACATCATACCTTGGCTCTTTCCTCTTTCTATTCGTGGTGGCTTAGGTGCGGAGGCTACTGATCTTCTTACATTTTATATATAAACTAACATATTTATAGGTGGGAGCAGGCATTTTCTTCTACATCATCACACCCAAAGAACTACAAATCAAAAGATGTATAATTTTATAAATTTTCCTTTGTCTCTTCTTTATATCAAAACAAGGATACTCTGTTGATTATCAAAATTATATATTGCATATTTAAGATATTAAAAGCAGAATAAAAGAATATTTGTTATAAAAGGCAGAGTTGGATTTCCTATGATTGGATATCGTTGGACGAGATGGCCCAACTAGGGCACAATGTAATTGAGTTCTGAACAGTCTAACACAATATAAAGACAATACAACTGTAGATAATATTCAAAATTACAAATAAGTTATATAAGACATTTTCTTACACCTTGTTTTTAGAGGTATGACATACAAATAGGGGACCCAGGAGCTTTTAATTCTCTTAATATGGCCATCTAGCCATATCCCATAATACCAACCATTAGTTAGATTATTTATATTTTATATACAAATATAAGATTATCCTGTTCCTTGTGTATTTTTCTTTCCCTAGTATCATTTTGCTCTAGTGGAGATCTTGCTTGCTGTGGTTTGGCTCTTAAACATCCCTCCTTTCACATGTCACTTTCGTATGTGAAAGGGTGACTGCCCACCCTGGCACTACAGGGAGATGGTGGAACTTCTAGGAGGTCGGGCCTCATGAAGGGAAGTTAGGTCATTGGGGGGCATGCTCCTGAAGGGGCTATTGAGACCCAGGCTCCTCCTGTCTCTCCTGCCCCCTCCCCCCTCATGAGGTGAAAAGCCTTCCACAGCCATGATACACTGTGTCACCACAAGCACAAAAGCAGCAGGGCCAAGTGGTCATGGACTGAAAGCCCTGAAACCATGAGCCAAAATAAACCTTTCTTCCCTTTTATGTTGATTATCTGAGGTCTTTTGTCACAGCAATGGAAACCCAATTAACACATGCTCACAGTCATGCTGCGGTGATAAAGGGGGAAATGATACCTGCCTCCCCTGCAACATTGTTAATACCACCGGCTCGTTTCCTAAGCCATCCATACTGAACAAATTGAATACTGTTCATAAAGGGGAATGTGATATAATGCCATGGGTTTATGTTCTCCCAAAAGCTGCTCTTGAGACAAGGATTTGGTGTAAACTCCACCTCTCTAATAGGTTCTAAGAAGTCTAGTGATGTACTAGGGAAGGGGGACAGGGACTATCATCTGTGGTCACCTGGAAGTAAGTCCTACTAAGGACCCTCTGAGAGAGGTAGAACACATCCCAAAACTGTCTTACCAGTGCACAGAGAAGCTGGACTATTTGCCAGCTCCTTCCTGTGTAAGTCAGCTTTTCATCTCTGTGACCAAAGTACCTGACAAGAACAACTTAGAAGAAAAAAAGTTTATTTGGGGGCTCATGGTCTCAGAGGTTCAGTCCATGTTGGCTGAGTCCATTGCTTTGGGTCTGAATTGAGGCAGACATAATGGCAGAAGGAAGCTGCTCAGCTCATGACAGCCAGGAAACTGAGAAAGTGAGGAGCCAGGACAAAATATAATTCCAAAGGGCACCTCCCTAGTGACCTACTTCCTTCAGTCACATCCCACCTGCCTACCATTACTACCCAGTAATCCATTCAAAATTTTAATACAACAAATGGATTCCTGCATGGATTAGGTCAACGTTCTCATAATCTAATCATTTCACTTCTGAACATGGCTACATTGTCACATGTGCTTTTGAGGAACACTTCCTATTCAAACCATAACACTTCCTTCATTGATTGAAGGGCTCTGGGGGTTATAACCCCTCTACACTTTCAGCCTGCTTTGTGCATGGGCTGAGCACACTCCCAGGTCTAGAGAAAGCCCTCGGGAAGAAATACTGTATGAAAACTGTGCACGGAAGCTCTAGCTGATTGCCAGAACAGGCAAGAGGTCATGATTGTGATACCAGCAGCATCTCCTACAAGTAAAAAGAAAGAAGTACATTCAAATTGCATATTCTCCCATTTTCCCTCTAGTCCCAGGCAGGACATCTTTGTGGGGCCAACATTTTCTTCTTGATGTCTACTGATAGGTGCTATGTAAGTGACTCCTCTTGGACCATGATGAGGCTGCCTTGGATCCTTGCCAAGGTGCAAGTTGGATTTCAGAGAATCATCAAAACAGAAAAGATATGCCAAACATAGCAATCTCATCCCTGAGCAGGATGTATCCTCTTACAGAACCGCCCAGCCACCTGTCCATCACAGCAAGAACAACACTGAAGATAAACCTCCCCCAGGTGGTTTCAACAGAAGTAGGAGCTGGTCTCTCCTTGATTTACTTTTAAGGTCTATTCAGAGATGCAAGGGTCATTATTGGCTCAAATGCTTAATCTTGCTGTGCATGTCTGTGACCAATTCATGCTAATCAGCACACTGATTCAAATTCAGGTACTTAACATAACATTCAAAAGCAAAATGCATTTTAATTTTTATTTCTCTTCTTCCCAAGGTTAAATAAAAATATTATATAGGAAATCATAAAAATATTATATAGGAAATCCTTCAGAACCTTTTGTGTCAATTTTGACAATATTGATTACTGTAAATCCATAGAAATGCAATAAAAATATACATTCATAATACACATAAAGATAGCATCATTACCACAGCAACAAATTTAAAAAGACACATTTAGAAAAAATATTTTCTAAATTTCAGAAAATAAGTTGAAAATGAAATACTAAAAACTTCCCATAATTAATTGCCCAGTTAATTTTGCTTATTAATTTCAGACTTTCTATTTTTTTTTTTAATGGAAAAGTTAAGCTCAGGCCTTTCTTTCATCTACAGCTTCAATTCTCTGTGTGTTATGAGTTGAATTATTTCCCCTCAAAGACACATTAAAGTACCTCAGAAAGTGATCTTCTGTGGAAATAGGGTTGTTGCACATGTAATTAGTTAAGATGAGGTCGGACTGGAGTAGGGTGGCCCTTAATCCAATATGACTGGTGTCCTTCTGTGAAGAGATACAGACCCACAAGGGGAGAAGGCTATGTGGTGACAGCAGAGGTCCAAATGATGCAGCCACAAGCCAAGAACTCCAAGAACTGCAGATCACAATCAGAAACTGGAAAGAGACATGGAAGGATTCTTCTCAACAGGATTCAGGGGAAGCAGCCTAGATTTTGAACATCCAGCCTCTGCAATTGTGAGAGAACAAATTCCTATTGTTTTAAGTCACTCAGTTTATGGAGCTTTTTATGTCAGTCCTAGGAAAGTAATGCAGTCAGCTTTGCCTTTAATTCTTATTTTCAAATGTCTTATTTTGTCTGTTCCTTATCTTTATCCCCTTTCCTCTCCCTTATTTCTACCTAGGTAAAAGCTATATTGACACTTCCCTTCTGTCCAGCAATCACAAGGCACAGCTCACCATGCTCTTCATAGCAACCCCATCGTCCCAGAGGTGACACAGTGTGCCATCTCATATGCCATTTTTATGATAAAATCATGGAACAAAAAGCTGTGCAGGTAAATCTTTTTGCCCACGATTTAAAAAAAAAAAGAAATCCAAAATTGATTTAAGTAAAAGCTGTTTTTTTCTTGATCTATCTAGTGTCTAGGAAAGACTTTCGATCACTGAGTCACCTGGCTCCAGCCCGCTGGCAATGACCTCTCCCTCTGCTGGTGAGTCTGCAGTCCAGGCACCAGGACCAATTCTGGTCCCAGGCAAGGAAAGTAGAGAAAATCCCACCCACTGTTCTGCCATTTCTGCTGGATTTCATGCCTTTTGTGCCTTCTATATTTCTTGATCAAAGTAAGGACACATTTTCCAGTGGTCATCATGTGATTGTATCTTTTCTGCTCAACTGTGATGAGTGAATGCTTTTATTTTTATTCCCCAAGGTTTAGCGTACTGATTGGCACTCCATAGGTTCTCAAAATGCATATGTTGCAGGAATAACTGGGAGTGCCAGTCTTGTTGGCTTCCTAGCTAACAGGGGATCTCCATCTGCTTGGCTCTCCAAATACAGTGTGCTCCTGTGTTCCCTCTGCTGCACTCTGATGGGCCAACACCCTTTTCATTGTGTGCTGACAGGTACTGCCTGTGGACAGTCATACCCCTCCCCGGATTGTGTGTGGAGACTGTCTGGACTTGTCCTCACCTTGTCATGCAGGTGACTCAAATATGAATCCCAGGACCCTGGACCCTCCAGCTCTCCCCCACAGTATGGCCAAGGGATTTCCAGAACTGTTGGAAGATGAATTATGTTGCAGGAGTATCTAGGAGTCTATGGCTGGTCACCTTTTCTGTTGTTGCAGTGATGTCATGTATGTGTAGGAGCTGGAGTTGCTTAAAAACGTTAAAGTGAAATGGTTGCTCTAATTTGCCAAATATGTTCCTTAGCCCTGCTAGTATTCCAGTACTTGTTTATAAGGAAATGATACATCACTGAGTACCTCACCAAGCCCTCAAAATACAAAAGAATAGCAGCTTGGGCTTTCTGAGCCAGCTGACAGCAGTCTTGTTTCACCTGCAGGATTTTGATTTTGTTTTGGTGTTTGCAGTACTGAGGGGTGGAACCTGGGGCCTCATGCATGTTAAGCAAGTGCTCAACCATGAGCTGCACCCCCAGCCTCCAAATGCATGTTAAAGAAGGTTTGCCCTGTGCAACATATCAGGTGGACAGAGTGGGACTCAGATGGAACCTGTGTGAAGGAGTCTGATTTCAAGGACAGAGAACCTTAGCTGGTCCTGTGTGAAGGAGTCTGATTTCAAGGACAGAGAACCTTAGCTGGTCCTGATGTCTGTGTGTCCACCTGGCTAAGTACCCTTGACAAACCACTGCCTATGTGCTTTGACTATTCTTCCATTTACAACATGCCTTCATTTCTGGCATCAAGTTTTATTCCCTTGCAGTTGCTCTATGTAGTGCCCTTGACCAAACCTGCTCCACCAGCCAGAGATGACTAAAGCCTGTGTTCAATATCCTTTTGACTCATCTGTTCATCTATTTGAAGTGAGCTTTTCAAACTGCTTTCAGCCTTCTCTTCTCCAGACTAAACATTGACTTTCAACCCTTTGATCATGTTCATTTTTATTTTGAATCCTCTCCAGTTTTCTTTATTATTCTTACATCAGAGCATTTAAATGGTGCATGAGACTCTACTCATAAACTAGACCCTTAAGATGTCACTGGTCATGACACATTTATGACGGTAACTGGCAAGTTCTAATCCCTTACTCCAGATTTCCTAAGGGAAAGAAAGAGACTCTGCCTCAATTCGCTAAGAAACCCAAAGTTTGAATTGGTAAGGGAAAGAATATACTTGAATTTTTAAGACAAAAGTTGCTATTTAAAACAAACTATTCCAAGCAAATTCCCAGCAGAACCTTTCATTGTAGTTTACAGAAATTCCAGCCAAGAGTCCATCACACCAAATCTGAAAATGTCAGGTCCTTTATCAACAAAACCCCAACAATTTATAAGTATGGAGATTCCTCAAAAGATTAGGCATGAAAACACCATATAACGCAGCTATGCCACTCTTCAGTATTTATCCTAAAGAATTAAAGTCATTCTACTACAGTGATCCATGCATACCCACATTTATAGAAGCACAATTCACAATAGCCACACTATGGACGGGTCTAGATGTCCATCAACAGATGATAGATAAAAAAATGTGGTACATATACATGGAAGAGTTTTATGTAGCCATAAAGAAAAATGAAATTATGTCATTTGCAGGAAAATGGATGGAACTTGAGATCATTATGTTAGGTGAAATAAGCCAAACTCAGAAGGTCAAGGGTTGTGTATGTTTTCTCTCATATGTAGAAGCTAGAGATGGAAAAGGAAAAGAAAGATCTCATGAAAATCAAAGGGAGATTGGCAGAATAGAGGAAAGGGACCAGTGGATGGGAGAGAGTGGGAAGTGTTGGGGAGGAATAGTAATGAAATTATACTGTTTTATTGTGTGCATGTGTGAATATGTAACAGCAAATCCCACCATTGTGCACAACTGTAATGCACCAAAAAATGTGGAAATAATTAAAAAATGAAATAACCTCCAATCAGGAAAAAATTATTCATATTATGAAGCCATATGTTATATAGTATATATCATCTTCAAATGTGGACACAAGTGTATATCATAAATATAAAATTCATATTTAATTAATTATTTTTATTTTTGACCTTGCTGGGGATCAAGGTCAAAAGGCCATATACATGCTAGGCAAGGGCTCTACCACTGAGCTGCATCCCCATGCCCAATGTACATAAAATATAAATATATAAAATATAAATGTACATGGTGCCACCTATGTTGTTCATGCCCTAGATACACTGTCGGAATGAATAGTCTAGACACCTCTTCAGTCCCCTAGATATCTGGGATCATAGCCTGGTTCGAATCCCAGCCCCACACTCACTAGCTAGACGCTTGGGTAGTGCTACTTGACTCCCCTTGCACCTTGGTTTCCTCATCTGTAAACAGGGAATAATGATAATAATGATGCTTATCTCTAGGAGTTTCTGAGCATTAAACACACTAAGAAAAAAATTTAAAACACACTCAGGACAGGTCCTTCCCACAGCAAGTGCTTGCTCTTATTATTACCATTATGTCATTTTAGTAATCATGCTCTGAACATTGGCAAGGATGCTGATTTAGATCTGAAAATCAAGTCCATTTCTGCCAGAATGCTCATGAGACTGTTTGTTCCTAAAGTGGTAATTAGAAATGAAGATCTAGAACAGAATGATCCTTCCATTTGAAGAAGGACCTGAGAACACAGCTCCCAGGGATCCTGATTCTCTGGCAAGTCAGGCTCCTCTTCCTGTAGTGTTCCCAAGCTGTGATAAAACAGGAGACAGAAGATTCATTCTCCCTCCTCCTTCTTCCTCTGCTCTCCACCTTGGGTCTGTTTATGGCTGCAGCATCCCTCACCAGCTTGAGGTCCAAATGGAGCCTGGCACACCCAGGTGGCCACAGGTGCTATAAACAAGGAACACAGGTGGTATGAACAATCAGCACACATATTTCTCTTGTATGTCAATTATATAGTAATAGCCTCCATTTACACAACTAAAAATGCTCTCTCCCAGCATTTAAAAACACGGGCTTAAGCGCTTAGCTTTTATTTTTTCCACTTTTGATAGTAACACAGAAAAAGAGAATTCTTATTTTCCCAGCTTAAAAGTTAACAACCCAGACATGTCAACAACCTCCCTTAAAGCATTGGGAGCAATGGGGAGTGGTAGAGATCGTGTTGAACTGATTGACACATGTCCCTTCTGAAGAGTTGAGCCACTCCTAAGCTCTATGTGGGAGTGCCACAAGGGAATGGGGGATCCAAACTGCCTCTCAGAGTTTAGACTTTAATGAAGAATCTTCCAAGTGTTAAATGTTGACTCACATCAATATATATGTAGGTCAACCAGACTAATGCCACAGGCAGACCTGCAGCAGATGAGCATCCATGATGCCCTCTCCATAGCCTCAGAGGACACCACAAACATTGCAATTGAACATAGTGTCCATGGTTACCCCAGCTGGTGCAGCATGGTGACCCAGATTCCACCAGCCACAGTGAGCAATGATACTTTGTCTCTGAGCAGAGTTCTCCAAGACACTGTTTAAACTTTAGTGTGTATAAGAACCCTCTATAATAATTGTCCTGAGACTCACTATCTGATATTCTGAGGGAGAGCCTTGGAGTCTATATCTAAAAAAAAAAAAAATTCTAATAGACTTTATTTTCTACAACACTTTTAGATTTATAAAAAAGAGTTCCCATAAACCCAATTTCCCCCCTTTTGTTAACACCTTACGTTAGTATGACAATTAATGAACCAGTCCTGATACATTATTAACTAAAGCCCAATACTTTCATTATTAAAGTCCATACATTATTCAGGGTTTCTGACTGTTTGCTTAATGTTCTTTTTCTATTCCAGAACCATCCAGGTTTCCACATTACCCTTGTAGTTGTGTCTCCTTAGGCTCCTCCTGGCTTGTCAAGGATACACACTATCAACCTGGCTTATCACTGTTGACATTGACCTTGATTGCCTCCCTGAGGTGGTGTTTGTCCAGTTTCTCTACTGAAAAAACACTCTGCCTTCCACATGGCAGTCCTTAGACGTCAGAATGCACGGCCACACTTACAGAGTGAGTTTGACTCCACCTCTTTGAGGACAGAGTATCTACATAAATTACTAAGAATTCCTCTGCACAGATTTGTCTCTTCCTTTCCCCCTTTTGTTTATATCAGTATGGACTCATGGATATTTATCTCATACTTTGGATAATAATCCAATACTACTTTGTTTTGTTGCTCAAATTGCTCCAACGTTGGCCACTGAAAGTTCTTTCTGTGATCTCCTGTGTCTCTTGGATAATCCTCCATCAGTGTGGGTTTTCGGCCTCCTCTGTAATGAGCTCCTCAGGTTATGCGGATGGAGGTGGTCCCAGGCCACACTGTGGTAAAGTGGCTATAGGAGTCGGCCCTGAACTCTGCTAAATACGGAACGCTGCCCAGTCAGGGATTCCTTCAGCAGGTGGATAAGGGAGTAACTCCTCTGTGATCTTATTCATTCAGCAAACACTTACCAGGTATGATCTCCCTGCCTCCCCTCCATTAGGGATGATGCTGGATGATGGGATTACAGATCTTGCATGTGGTGTGCAGAGGGAGAAAATGTGGGTGCAATTCATAGGAAACAGGAAGAGAAATACCCACCAATCCTTTCACCTGTCCTTAGCTCTTCCTCCTGGAGACAATAGAAAGCACCCTGTTAAGATCTGAGGTCAGAGAAAGATCCCAGAGGACATGCACGGGAAGGGGCTGGACTCGAAAGCATCTGTGGAAGATTTGGCATTGAGCTAGAAAAAAATTATTTATCTTTTGAGACTGAAGGAAAGGAAACTGACTATAGGAATGTTTATGGATGGTGGTGTCAGAGTGGGGAAGGGGGTTTAAGATCACCTATAATGGTTTTGATATTCTGAGTAAAGCAGGAGACCAGCTCATCCTTCCTAGATGCCTGGGGAGGGCACTGAAGGTTTGAGATGGTGGTGAGGATTTGTCTTGCTGTAACAGAGTACCTGACACTGAATAATTTATAAAGAACAGAACTTTATTTATCACAGTTCTGGAGGCTGGGAAGTCCAAGGTCAATGCCAGCCAGTATCTATGAGGAGCTTTTTGCTATGTCCTCCTGTGGCAGAAGAGTGGGAGAGAGCAAACCCGCTCTGCAAGCCCTTTTTATAGCAGTCTTAATCTAATCACAAAGGCTCTGCCAAACACCTCCCAACACAGTTGCACTGGGGATTCAATTTACAACACATGAATTTGAGGGGACACATTCAGACCATAGTGGGGGTTGTATCAGGGGACCAGTAGCACAGCAAAAACGGAAAAGGAGGGGTGTCCAACTACTAGTGATGAGTGGAGAGTCCCACATCTTTAAGTGTAACAATGGGGATGTGGTCTGGGAGCTGTGTCATTAGGAAATTTCATTGTAAAAACACCAAACGGTGCTAACCAAACCCAGATGGTACAGGTGAGTCACTGACATAGCCTCTCCCTGGAATCAAGGCTCACTGTAGAGAGGAGATTTATGAAGCTGCTACTGGGAGATTCACCCCATAAGGTTTTATAGGGAGCTTTTCTTTAGTAACTAGAAGGAATACACTCTAAAATCAGGATAAAAAGTATAGTAAAGACATAAGCCAGAGTAGTCATTTAGCATCGAGTGTTAGGTACTGCACACAGGTGTATACACTATAGATTATATGACTGACAACACGGTAGCTGTCTACAGCAGCATCACCACCAATGTGTGTGGAATGCACTGTGCTCTACAATACAACAGCGACCCTGTCGTTCGGTGATAGGAATTGTCCAGCTCCCTCTTTATCTCATGGGACTCTCATCATGTGTGACCTGCCATTGACCATAACATCCTTATGCAGCATGTGACTATTTTTTTTTCTGTGACTAATTAATATAAGTGACTATTAAAATAATCGCTACCAACCTATAACGCTAACTAGGTAACTGGGAGGGTAAGAAAAAAGGAAGAAAAAAAAAACAAGATATCACAGAATAAGCAATTACCACCTCTTGGGATGGGCTGGGTGAACAAAGAGAAGCAGTTAGAATTATTAAAGCCTTGAAACAGAGTTGCGGTCCCCTGGGACTGAAATGGGATCTCTAAGGAGGGGTGTCCAATTACTAGTGATGAGTGGAGAGTCCTCTGTAAGTGTTGGAAACTCTGGCAACTGGAATCAGCTACTGCCACAGGCAGGAAGTGCCCCTGCTGGTGAAGAGTGTGGCCAGGGTGTTGCTTACTCAGAGGGGCCGCAAGCAGGAAGGTCACAGGTCCCTCCTTCCTACGCAGCTCTGCTAACTGGTAGCTTGTACAGTCTCAGCCCATCACAAAGCCAGGCAGAGAAGCCTTGGTTTGGAGCTGAGAGGCATTAATTCAAGAACTGTCATGGAAAATATACAAAGCCACACGTGACATTTAGGAACTACCTGTGCACTTGAATCTGTATACTGGCTGACTTTCTCTTCTCTGATGTCTGTCAATTACATCTTGCCTTCCTAAGCCCTTGACATATTGGAGTTTCCTTCTTATTCCAGGGGCCAGTCCCTGGTTCCCTTTGTTACTTACCCTTCTCCAGAAAATTCCTGATGGGTCTCCTGGTTCAAAAGCAACTGAACAAGTGTCTATCAATGAATAATGGGTAAACATCAGATAGTTTATACATACAATAAAATGTTATTCAGTCTTAAAAAGAAAGGAGATTCTGACACACTCGACAACATGGCTGAATCTTGACATTACGCTCAGTGAAAGAAGCCAGACACAATAGGAAAGATATTTGGTGATACCATTTATGTGGAGTTTAGAGACAGAAAATTGATTGGTGGTTGCTAGAGGTAGGAGAGAGGAGAAAGAGGAGTCACTGTTTAAGGAATCCAGAGTTTCACTTTTGCAAAATGAGAAATGTCCTCTGGATGGATAGTGGTCATAGTTGCACAATAATGGGAATGTAATAAATGCCACTCATCTGTACACTTGGAAATAAATGATGGATGGCCCAGGCAGTATCTATGATGGCATGAGTTCTTCAGCACATTGCAAATGTGAATTTTACCCAGGCTGTAAGTCATGATGTCAGTCTTCATGAGGCCATATTGCTGTATCCCAACACCACGTAAGAAGAGTTCCAGTAGCAAGGACTTCACAGACACAACCACCATTATTGCAGTTGAGTTTTCATTCCAATCCTGAGCAAACCCTTCCAGGAACAGGAGTTCTTCCACCTGTTGACAACCAGATGAGGAACCTAACAAGCTAAGGCTTTCTGTAAAACCTTGAAGAAAACATATTTGATGAGATAAACTTATTGTCATTGGCCACCAAGGAAAGTTTTGATCCAATGGAAATTTTTCAGCTTTTTGAGGAACCAGACTTGGATTCTGGCCTTTCATTGAATTCAAGTCATCATAGCACCTCTACTACCAAGTCCAATTCTTCTCACTCTGTGTGATGAAGACAGTGCTAGCAGTTATAGTAGAGATCGTGGTTATCTTTTCCATCATGATTAGAAGAGGCTGTAGGAGGCTACTACTCAGAACCCATGAAACTTTGTCACATGAAAAAAGAAGAAGGTTGA